ATTTGTTTAGAAATTTTCATTGATTCTGGGGATATTTCAATTCTATCTTCAATCTTAAACTTCTCATATGCTATTGATCCAGTTAAAGCAATAGATGCCTTTGTATGTCCTGGCGCCACAATTAAACGGAAATTATAAAGACTAATCAATACAAAAATAAATTATTATTTCAATAAAAATAGTGTAATTGGATTATGAATATAATAAGTCATATAAATTAATTTAATATTATTGCCTATTATTTGTATCATCAATGTCAACCATAACTTCATGCCAACCATTTGATGTGCGCTGTAAATATTTTAAATATTTATATAATGTTTAATTAATTTGACATGTACTGCTCAAAAATTCACTTGCATTTAACAGTAATAATTACTTCAAAAAGGTGAATTGGTAATGCATCAAAAAATTCATGAGCAATAATCATTGACCATTTATCTATTAGATTTGTTATAAAAAGTTAATTTCTTTATAATAAATAGAATTAATATACAGTAATACATTGGAAATTTCATATAATACCAGGAATTTCATTAAATGTATCATGCCAAAAAAATTTCACTCCATCAAATGTGCTTCTTGATGAGCTGCATAATTTTTGATATTGAATTTCCCGTAACTTTGGGCTTACTTCAATTAAGTGTACTTCACATATTGATCGAAAACAATCATTAAAATTTGTCATTGCCTAAAAAATTGGGTTGTTAGAATAGTATTAATATTTTTTTAAGCTTTTTAAAAAAAGTATCAATACTAATAATGAATTTTTTTTACATTAAGCATATCATAAAGTAATGTTCCCCTTCCTGGACCTAATTCTATAACTTGGATTTTGTCTGGTTTTCCTTGACTTTGCCATTGTGTCATAAACCATATTCCCATCAACTAAGAATTATAAAAATAATGTACGGTTTTATTATGAATAAATAAAAGATACTAAACATAATGAATTGGAAAGTATTAATCACCTCACCGAATATCTGACTGATTTCAGGAGATGTAACAAAATCTCCTTGTCTGCCAAATACATCACCCACCATATAGTAACCACTAAG